CCATGGCCAAGCCTACAGTTGTCTGAGTTAATCAGGCTACCTTGTTTCTTCAATACTAAAACAAATGCTATAAAATGAAGTTATTCAAACCTGAATTTTTCTTGACACGTGGACTATATCCATACTTCTGGAAATACTCTCTTATTTTCATAATATCCATTGAATTTTTTTCCATTAGTACTTTTGTTGCCTTTATGAAATCAATGCCTTCTTGATTTTCCAATCTTGCTTTATCAAGAAGAATATTAACATCATCCTTTTATGAATAAAGAAAATACATTTTAATTTCTCTGACTTCTGACTAAATCTATTTAGGACAAAAAAATTACTCGCCACAGAAAAATCATAAATTAATATTGTAGGAGTGATACCTTTAGAGTCTGAACTTCTGAATGAAGGTCATATAAAATTCTCATTGGATAATCTTCAAAGTCTTCAATATGAATATTGAAAGAAAAAAAGTCCAATAAGTGTAAGGAAAAGAAGGAAGAAAAAGTATACTTAGTATACAATCATATACCTTTTTTTTTTTTTTTTTTTTTGAGACGGAGTCTCGCTCTGTCACCCAGGCTGGAGTGCAGTGGCTCGATCTCAGCTCACTGCAAGCTCCGCCTCCTGGGTTTACACCATTCTCCTGCCTCAGCCTCCCGAGTAGCTGGGACTACAGGCGTCCACCACCACGCCCGGCTAATTTTTTGTATTTTTAGTAGAGACGGGGTTTCACCGTGTTAGCCAGGATGGTCTCGATCTCCCGACCTTGCGATCCGCCCGTCTTGGCCTCCCAAAGTGTTGGGATTACAGGCGTGAGCCACTGCGCCCGGCCCAAATCTTCTAATTTTAAGGCAGTCCTACTTATCCATTTTTTCCCTTATGACAAGCACTTTTTGGTTTCTATTTTTTAAATATTTGCCAATGACAAGATATGTGTCTCTTCATATTTTCTTGTAAGAGCTTTATGGTTTTAACTTTTGCATTTAGAGCTACACCCATCTGGAATTGATTTCTGTATACAGCATGTCATAAGAATCAAGATCCACTCTTTTTCTCCATATGGATATTCAATTTACCTGGCACAACTTACTGAAAAGGCATCCTTTACCCACTGCATGTCACCTTTGTCATTAATCAGCGGGTGTTACATATGATGTAAAAGTAGTTTTTTCGTTTAACTTTTTTGAGACAGGTTCTCACTCTGTCACCCAAGCTGGAGTACAGCGGTGCAGTCATGGCTCACTGCAGCCTTGACTTCCTGGACTCAAAAAATCCTCGCACCTCAGATTCCCAAGTAGCTGGGGACTACAGGCATGTACCACCCACCCAGCTAATTTAAAAGAAGTGGAGTTATTTTTTGTTTCTTTTTTGAGAGAGTCTCACTGTCACCCAGGCTGGAGTGCAGTGCCCTCATCTCAGCTCACTGCAACTGCCGCCTCCCAGGTTCAAGTGATTCTCGTGCCTCAGCACTGCCCCCACCCAGTAGCTGGGATTACAGGTGTGTACCACCACACCCGGCTAATTTTTGTATTTTTAGTAGAGACGGGATTTCGCCATGTTGGCCAGGCTAGTCTCAAACTTCTGGCCTCAAGTGATCTGCCCACCTCAGCCCCGCAAAGTGCTGGGATTACAGGCCTGAGCCACCACACCAGGCCTAAAAGTAGTAAAACAATTATATTTCCCTTTTCTAAAACACATCTCCCTTGAAGGTCTCCTTCTTCCACCTGTTAAAAGTTGACCAGTTTTCATTAGGGAAATGCAAGTCAAAACCACAATGAGATTCCACTTCATACTCACTAGAATAAGTACAGCAAAAAAGATAATAATAAACATTGGTGAGGGTGTGAAGAAACTGCAACCCTTATTCATTGCTAGTGCAAATGTAAAATGATGCAGACACTTTGGAAAAACAATCTGGCAAGTCCTCAAGAAGTTAAACTATATGACCTAGCAATTTCACCTCTAGATATATGCTCAAGAGAATTAAAAACACATTAACACAAAAACTTACATGTGAATATTTACAGTAGCATTATTCATAATAGCCAAAAAGTAGAAACAACTCAAATGTCTATCAGCTAGTGAATAACGAAAATGTAGTAGGACCATACAGTGGAATATACTCAGCAATAAAATGGAATGAAGTGATGACACATGCGACAACATAGAGAAACACTGAGACATTACACTAAGTGAAATAAGTTAGTCACAAGACTATAAATTCTATAATTCCATTTATATGAAATGTCCAGAATAGACAAATCTATAGAAACAGAAAGTGGATTCATGGTTGCTTAAAGCTGGTGTGGTGGATGGGGTAAAGGGGAGTGACCGTTAAGGGGCACAGGGATCTCTTCTAGGAGTGATGAAAATCTAAACTTTTTGTTGTGATAATTGCAGAACTCTGAATATCTTAATAACCACTAAATTGTATCCTTTAAATGGTTTTATGGCATGTGAATTATATCTCAAAGATATTTAGAAGTCAACCAACTGAATTATTCATCATTGTGATCATAAAAGACGAGATTGTTTGTGACCATTGTCTCTAATTACAATTCCACATTTTCTATAACGCATATGGGACAGGAATTGAATGATTATTCCAAGTTTTCCTTGTAAACACAGAAGAAAATGCAGATTATGCAGAGTCAATATGTCAGTAGGAAAATAAATTAGGATGAGCTTTATGGAAAGTCTCTCTCTCACACATATATATATGAGAAATTTTATATATATATAAAATGTATATAAATATA